ATCAGATAATCGTCAGATAAATCTTAATACTTAATAATCAAACGGTTTTTCCTATTATTAAAAAAATCATTTGCTAAAAACATTAAATACTATAAAGTAATACATATTTAATAGATTCTCTCTTTTTGTTGATAATCATTAAGTCTGTGGCGATAAAAACACAGAAAGTATGGTAAAAGTGTTTTTGAATTTATAATTAACTAAAATAAACAGTATTTCTATTTTACTCGTTACTTGTCTTAAACTTTTTTCTCAGCATTTGTTGCGGAATCGCTTTAAATAGAAATTTTCAAATAACTATTAAATCAATGATATAATCGTTGAGCTCCTCCTCTAAGTGCAAAACAATTGCCACTTTTATTCCCACTTTAGGGCTACAATACTTTGAATCGTTCAACAAAATATATCAGATAGCAAATATAAATAAATCTTTAAATGAGCATTAATCCTTATTTTATTTAAGAAATCAGATCAATATAAATTTTACAAATCATTTGATTAATGTGATTAAACACATTTAAATTTCGGTAAGAAATATCTCTACATACTAATTTATTTGTAAACACTTTAGTAATTAAGTAATTAAACAATTTTGGCGTTTCATTTCAAACACCAATAAAATAAAAGTTATTTGATTTATTAATTTGAGTGTTTTGTAGATAATTAAATTAATGTATTATTGAGATTTTGGTCTCATTAATTTTATTTACTTTTACAATGAAATAATTACTTAAATGTAAATTTCATGAAAATTATTGTCAATTATGGCAGCGTTTGGGTCCAATCACATCGAGAATAACCCGGAATGTGATGCCGAAGAGGAAGAGGTGGAGAAATGCGCCCAAAGGATGGTTTTACTCGACAAACAACCGATGCCTCAAACCGCCGATGAATTGCAACTCTTTTGCGAGTAATTCATTCAATAATTATTATTAACCAAAAAATCGCATTCAATTATCATTTGCTATGAATTTAATAGTAATTATAAGAAAGAAGAGGATTGTCTGCGAAACCATTCAATCAAATGTCTGTCGCCATCAGCCCATCAGACGGTGACAATTCTGATCAATAGTGTGGTCGCACAGAACCAGAAGGTCTGTTCCAAGGGCTGGAGGAATAAGAAGCGTATGATTAACGGCGGCAAATGTATCAACAAATACGACAACAAACCCGTTGGATGTCTGAAGCAATTCATAGATAATATTCAAGGCTTACATCAATTGACGCAAAACGATAAAATTCCTGTCATTTGCTGGTAATTCCTATGATTTTCTATGATTTTGATATAAATTCAATTAACACTTAACTCATGTTTGCATTGCTGACAGTAATTATCATAAATACCGGAAGTGTGCCACAGATTACTTGTCAACTGACGACAGAATATGCAACTCCTATACTGTGCGGACCATAGAGAATATGATTGATGGCTATTCCGGAGATGTAATCAATTATGTCTGCGAGAGTTATCGAAACTATGGCCAAACCTGTGACCCCATCTCACAATTAATTTCACGAAATAATTATAATAATAACGAGAACTCAACCAAAGAAGAGACACCAAAAACGTTCTTCTCATTAATGGTTAAGATTTATTTGAGTTAAGATCACATTATAATAGGCTTGAAAATCATTGGTTTATACCGGTATATCAATTGTCAAATAATTACAAACTGCATTTAATTGATTAATGGCATTTAATACCGTATTTCCAATAAATACATTACAAAGCAATTGATTTATAAATTAATTTACAATTAATTCAAATAAACATATGTAAAAACAAGCCTCGAGTCTAAACTCTAGACTTTGAGCTCTAATTAATCCAAAAGGGGATTACGATCTGTTTAGACGCGTGTTGGACCTGAAGAAGGAGTTTCACTCTCTCGATGGGCGCCACCGCTGTCTTCGAGATGGCGGCCGACACACCGCCGGCAATGAAGTCCTTGGCAAACGAAACCGCGTCGATCGGCATTCTTCCGGAACCAATGCAAAGACATTACAAATAATTATCATTAGCTTTAATACAAGAATCTCTGAAAACTTCCAAATCATAACTAAATTGATTGCAATCACCAGTGAATGTCTGTACACGTGATCACACTTTTCAGACACAGTTAATGCCATAAATCACTTGCAATTGTCTTTCACTCATATCTTATCAATCAATTCAACCAAATGTCATAATTATGTCAAATCAGGTCATGACCTCTAAGTGAAGGGCAAACTAATTACACTCAAGAAACAAGTGTTAATCACATTTTAAGGACAATTTATGTGACATTAATAGACCACTAATTGAAACAATATATGACCGCTACTATCAACACATGGGACCCGACCTCAGAGTCCATCGAAAGTCATAAATAGGACATTAGGTTAACATAGCATTGAATTGAATGGCAATTTTGTGCACAACTTTTTGTGGTAATGATTGCAAACAATTAGACATTAAATATGAATAAACTTTTACCTGAATTTAGCGTTGAATGTAAAGTAGGGGACAAACGAGTGTTAAATGAGATGTGAATTAAATTGTAAAAGAAATTTGATTTGTGAGACAATTGTGAGACTGAATGCCAACCAATGGTTTCCACACCGACTCTGAAGGGACTCTCACTCTCTCTCTCAACTCAAGTGTTGGGCGGAAAAGGAAATGCATTCACGTCTATGACATGTACTGTATATATATAGCAACTCATAAATGTGTATACAATATGCCAAACCATAGCCAACACATCCTTTTTAATTGTATCCAAAATTAGCATTTATTTCATTGTTTTCCTCGTTTTTTGAAAACAGTTTGCAAATTATGTAATATTTCTCACAGATTCGTTTCGTAGACCTTGCTCATATCATACAGTTTCAAAGTTATCAATTCTAACCTGGCTCTCCCTGTTGTAGGTTAGATAGCGTGGCGCTACCGGTGCCATACACAGGCTTTACACATACAGCCAGTGATTGGTAGACATACCGGTGTGTTATGTAATACAAGGCTTGTTGTACTGTAGTGCACACATCCAGGCGCTCCACTGCCACTGCATTTGTATTGGCATTAATTTGTGGATAATTTGTTTAATTGTATGAATTGAGACCACATTTGTTAATAGATTAGCTATTTTTGATTCAATTGTATCATTGATTCACACCATAGGAGAGCATATAAGTGTGGGTCCGACTCAACATAGGCTCTGGACTCGTGTCTAATACTCACTGATTAGTGGCTTATTTAAAGCATAAATGAGAAGTAAAAGTGAATTAAATTAAGTTAAATAAATGACATTAATATTAGATTTACGCGAAACAAAGACATTTTAAACATAAATATAGACTTTAATTGTACGGAAAATTACTTGACATGAGTTAGGATTTAATACAAATGTTTGTATTAATAATAATATTTGAGAATAACTTATAAATAAATTGAAGAATAGTTGAGAAAACATAAGAAAATTAATTGCATTTATGTTTGGCGTCGAAGAGCTGTTGTCTACTTCGGACTCAATTACAACTAAATGACAAATTAAAGTCAAAAACTTAAAAGTTGTCTAAAATTTAATTTCTCATTAAAAAGCACTCAATGAGACAAACCTTGTGTACAAAAGTTTGCGATAAAAGTTTAGACTTGTTTGCAAAGCGAGATCACTTTAATCCGTTTAACGGATCCACGACTGAGACAATCATTGAATCAATGAATCGACGGCACAATCAGTTACGAGAGTATTTAAAAAGCCAGCAAAGAGTTAATTTATAAAATCTGTATAAAAACTTTAAAAATATAAATAGTGAGTGCATGGAGACAATCAAATAAGTCTTAAACACTATAAGTTTAGTTGAGTTAATAAAGTTGTTAAAGTATTTTATATGTATAAAAAATATATAACTTCCAAAGGGTTTGTAAATAAATGCATTTAAAACGTACCGCTATTTGTGAACTGGTATTGAGAGTGAAGTCTTGTTTGTGTTTACATTCAGTGTTTGAATGAAAACAACAATTGATGAGTGGTTTGACACCAAAGGCTGAAGACTCGGATCACTTCCACAGCCACTGAAGAGATGTCGGAGTCGACGGAGAGTCGCACGAGAGGTACGAAACCCAAGAGTATTGTCTGGAAGTACTACAAGACAGAGGAGGACACGGATGGCCACAAAGTGCTGAAGTGTTGCTTCTGTAGCACTGGATTCACGGCATCGGTGGCCAGGAATGCGACTAAACTGAGACAACATCTCATCCGCAAGTGTCGGGACATCCCATCGCACGTGAAGACTGAGTTTGTCGACGACATCGAGGATGAGAATCGACACCAATTCAATCGCATTGTAAGACACGACCAGACAGTTGTCTCGTTGTTGTGGTGATAACTAATGGTATATCTTGTTGTCCATCGGATGAACAGGTGATCAAAGACTTGGACACACGGGTGATGAACAAGAGGAGCGGAACTATGAGTCAAATAATAACGAAAATAATTGTGAAGAACCGACCGAAAGGTGATGTGAAGCCGCGCCTGAAGAACATGTTGAGAGTGGAGGACTCATCGGATGAGTTGACGGGCACCACAGATATGACAGATATGTTGAGTAGGAGTGAACTGAAGACAAGAGTGCGGACTCTGGAAGAGGAGAACCTGCGGCTGAACTCACGGCTCGAGTTGTGTCGCAAACAAAACGATGCTTTGATACAAATGACTAAACATCTGGAGCTGAGTCTGAAACTGATGGAGAAGTTGGAGGCCATCAACAAAATGCATTCAATTAGATTCGATGACAACGAGGCAGAAGTGGATGGACTCACGGATGAGTTGAACACCAATAATGAGTCGGCGGAAGAGTGGAGACAAAAGTTGAAAGTCATTGACAGACAGTTGTGGGCGGAGAAGGAGAGAGAAGATAACTATCAGAGAAATAGTGGTTTGTGTCCTAAACTACACGTGTTTTGCAAGCATTGTATGAATGATTTGTTTGATTGATATGTGATTCACAGAGAAGACGATTAACTCGAAGACCCAAAGGCCTCAGTCGTCGATTTGGAAGTACTATAAACTGGGGGAAAGGGATCAGACGGACGGCTTGCGGGCAATTGAGTGTCTATTCTGTAGCAAAACGTTTCGCCACAAGAATCTGAACGCCTTTAAGAGCCGAACCCATATCGTGGAGAACTGCGAGAAGTGTCCGCAAGATATCAAAGAAAAGGAGAACATTTGGTCGGAACCGCAGCCCAAGTCGAAGGTCGACATCTGGAGTCACTTTAAGCTGAGTAATAGTGAGGACAAGACATGTGCTGAGTGTCAGTATTGCGGACATAAATACTACTACAGAAACGCAACCAAATGTAGACAACATTTAGTCTTCAAATGCCAACAAATCCCGTTTGACGTCAAAGAAACCATTCGTAACCAATGCGACCAAAGTTTTCTCAATAATTCCAAGTCTTTAGAACCCATTAAAACCAGACTTTCCAACATTTGGAACCATTACCATAGTAGTGATGATAATGAAGGTATTTATCGTTCAGTTGATCACTATTTGAATTTAAATCTTAATCTCATTTTAATGAATGTTTTGTTCATTTAAAGGCAAACAAACATATCGTTGTATTTATTGTAGACAACAGTATTCGACGAGAAATGCCACCAAATTTCGACAACATTTGGTCGACCGGTGCGAAAGTGTTCCCCAAGAGGTTCGCGACGAGTTGGCCACCGAGTGTATGGAGTCGACGCGCACCTGGACTCAGGCAAAGGTCCCGGTTTGGTCTCACTTTGAACTCTGGGAAGAGACGGGTATTTGTTTTATACATTACACCGCAAGTGAATTGTGATTATTTTGAAATATTTTCAAAACTTGTTCATTTCAGGCAAACAGATGTGTCGGTGCGCCTACTGTGGCATTACATACGCCTATAGAAACGCCACTAAATGTTAGTTTTTATGGTTTATTTATTTACGATTACATTCATTGTATTTGAATTACAGGTAGAATTCATTTGATGATGAAATGCGATAAAATTCCGGTTGACTTGAGGTTTAAATTACGCAAAGAGTCCAATGAGTTGTATACGAGTGCACTGGCGGCTAAAACTCAACCAAAACAGAAAAAGGTAAATACAGTGCAATGTTTATAATGTTTTTACTGTTAATCTGATTGTAATTTTGATTAACGTGTTTGATATACAGCCTAAAGCAAGGAAAATGTACGTCAAAACGGGTCCTATAATCCGAAAACCAAAGTCTAGGATTTGGGAGTTTTTTCTGGAAGATAAGGACGGGAAGGGCGATACCATACGGCGCTGTACTTTCTGTGAACACGTATTTGGTTCGGGAACGAGTCGTAACGCAACTAAAATGAGAGACCATTTGGCGCTCTTTTGTAAGTCTATTCCCGAAGACGTTAAGAATAGGATCGTTGACGAGAACACTAAGTACGGGCGACCCTATCGTAATAAACCTCCGCAACCACTCAAATGGCTGGAGTGCTGTTGGCCCGGCTGTGAGATGAAGTTCCCTAAAAGGTATGTCTCATTGATTTCTATTTAACTGTTGACTTTATACTTAATGCTATAATTTATTGATTTTTAGATCTCGACTTCTTAACCATCAGAGAGTACATACGGGTGATATAGTTCGGGTGCCATGCGATTGGCCCGGTTGTGAGTGGACTGGGAGGTCACGGCATTGCGTGACAATTCATAAATATATACATACCGGTAATTACTGCTAATAACTTCTAAAAATGTTTTAATTGTCTCAAATTGTGTCGGCACTGTAGGGGAGAAGCCCTATCACTGCGATTGGCCGGGATGTGAGTTCAAGACCGCCAAACCTTCCAGTCTTTGTGTTCATAAGGTATGGGAAGTGTTGAATGAGATGATGAATGAGTGCTTTAACTGGTTTTCAATGCTTAGATGAGACACAAGAATCTGTTGCGTTACAAATGCGATTGGCCTGACTGTGAGCGCACATTCCTCACCTCATCGCAGCGCACTGTCCACAAAATGGTTCACATGGGTATCAAACCGCACGCCTGTCAGTACTGCGACAAACGGTACCCGCAANTGTTGCGTTACAAATGCGATTGGCCTGACTGTGAGCGCACATTCCTCACCTCATCGCAGCGCACTGTCCACAAAATGGTTCACATGGGTATCAAACCGCACGCCTGTCAGTACTGCGACAAACGGTATCCGCAATTGAATAAATTAAAGGTTCACCAAAATAAACATCATTTCAATGAAATGCGAATTAATTCGTATAACGTTTGAAAAACCGCTTGTAATCTGTAAATTGGTGGTCAAGTAGTCTTAGCCGTCGCACTCATTTACATAACTCCAATGCACTTGTCTTGACCTTAAAATAATGTTTTTACAATTAGTACCGGTATGAATTTTATTAACCAACTATACACTAGTACTACATTGCCATAATTTGCAACATACAAATTTAGTTTTTGATTGACTTTTACAATTTAATATAATTCCAATATATCTGTAATATACCTTTAAAAGTAAGTTCAATCCCCTTTTGGATTAATTAGAGCTCAAAGTCTAGAGTTTAGACTCGAGGCTTGTTTTTACATATGTTTATTTGAATTAATTGTAAATTAATTTATAAATCAATTGCTTTGTAATGTATTTATTGG